GATCAACATCACACCGACCGCTTTTACTTCTCATGCCTGTACCTGGTACGTTTTTGAGACTGAGTCAATCTGGGAGCCAAGGCAATTTTGGAAAAAGTCCAGCTTTGTCAGGAGCTGAACCCACGACCTTTGAATCCGCAGACGAGTGTCTAGTCGCTATGCCACCTCCATGTGACCATGGGGTTGTCAAGATATCTATATCAGTGTTTCTGTATATCTACACCCCCACCCTCCTCCCAAGTCTTTCCAGGTGTCACTGCTTGTTTTTTTCCACTTCAACTCTACTCACAATCTGGTTCAAAAATCGTCTTCTCCTTCCTTTTTTGTTTACCGGCTTCGGAAAAAATCCTGGTTGTTCGTCCATCTGGACTTTGGCTTTGTGCCAGGGACTGTGCTTTGCGTGTACATCCGTTTTGCTGGCTTATTTGTGTGCAGCTGGTTGTTCCTTGCCGCTCGGGCGGATGCACTCTGACTTCGAAGGAAGCTCCTAATTAGTCAACTGCTACTACATACTTGTTGGGAAGGCAGTAGGTCTATTCTTGTTTTCTCCACAATGGGGCACTGGAACTGATACAGGGAACTTTTAAAAAATGATAACTTTTCTGTAATAGTCTTTGGAATTTAGTCATTTGAAAACATTAAAAAAATTTTTTTTAAATTAACATGAAACATATTATTTGTTTAATGATAATAAAGTATATAAGCAATTATCAAAAAAACGTACTGTTTACTTTTTATGACATATTTTAACCTTTACGGGGCAAGCCGAAATGCACTGATTTTTATTAACATTAGCTTAATAATGATTTAATCATCAAAAACATAATAATTGTTTACTGCTTGTTGCCTAGTGTGGATGGAATAGTTGGTAATCTGGAATTTGATGGATGGTGCTAAGTGCGTAAAAATATGCGGTCTTTAGTGTCATCAGTTCATCTTCGTTTGGGCGTACTTTTCGTTTCAGCTATTTTTACGTATATCGTCTTTACTTTTAACATGTGTTTACGCAAAAAATACGAAGAGTGTTCCAGCCAACCAGATATCGAAAGAGATCGATAAAAAACTGGACGAAAGACGAAGATTGGAAATGTCTCCTAGGTGGAATCCATGGAAGCAGTTAATCTTCGGAGAATTTTGACGAAGAAAGGATGTTTTCTTGACTGAACACCATAGTTTTAGTTTCTTGGCCATACTTTATTGTCGTGTCCGTTTATTTTGTTAATTTTTGTGTGAACTTAGAACGACTTCGTATGTCAAGCAAAATATATTTAGAGAGAACAGCAGCCCATCTGTACTAAACGACTTTTTTTTCCCCTTGTGTAAAATATATTGGTATAGGTCGAAATAACACCTGCTCTCATACGAGGGACTCGAGTTTTCTTTTTTTTTTTTTTTCCTGATAAGGTCATGGATTTTTTCTCTAGCAATGCGCCCCTAAATCCTAAGGGGTTCTTTATTAATATCCTACCCTAGATGACGTCACAGGACAGTCCAACATTTTAGAGGGTGGAAAGACTGAGTTTCCCGGCTTTCTAATGCTTTTAACGACCCCAAAATATCTAGAACTGGCCCTAACCCCAGCCCACCTACGTCTCACTAGAGAGTACAGTTTAGGTCCCACGACTGCATGCAGCCTAGGTCCCACGACTGCATGCAGCCTAGGTCCCACGACTGCATGCAGCCTATCTACCACATCCTGAAATATTAGACTGTCCCGTGACCTTTGGATTTTCCCTGTTTGAAGTAGAATATTAATAAATCACTTCCTAAGGTTCAAAGACCCCCTGCCTACACTGTACAATTGGTAAATACATACAGTGTTTGGAAATTTGGAGTAGGCTAGAATAGTTTCTGCTCTGAATAAATTTGTTTTCCTTACATTAGATTTTTAGCCGCCATTTTAACAGTTCCGCACTTGCATTATTGATTATTTCTATAGTTCTGAAGGGGAGTCGCCTTGGGTTCGCTCCTTGGCGGAGCTGGACTTTTCTCAGAAATGACCTTGGCTCCCAGGTCGACCCAGTCTTGAGTGGGTACAGGGTGCAGTCCCGAGAAAGTGAAGGGGGCCGGCGTGATACTGACACATTACCCATCTTGTGCCGATTGGTCTTTAAAATATAGGTCTAGCCCTATATGCCCTATAGCCTTAAGGCGTGGAAAAGGGTCCTTTACTTTTGCTTTACTTAAAGTTCTGAAGAGAGAACAACTTGGTTTTATTGTAGCTGCTTTCATTAATCTCTGATATCATTTCAAAATTAACATAGTAGCAATTAAAGACATTGGGTGATATACTGGAATTTAAAAGGGAAAAAACAGTAAAGTAATTTTTTTTTAGAAAGTTGTAGATTTGTTAAACAAAAAAAAAAATAATGTGCAAGACGCCACAATAATATAGACGCTCGCTTGTGTATCGGAAGGTTGTTGGTTCGAGACCTGACGGAGCCGAACTTTTGTGTTGTCAAAAATGGTCTTGGTCTCCATGTCGATTCAGCCTTAATTAGTGACCAAGTACAGTCCTGGGAAGTAAAAGCGGCCGGTGTGACCATACACCTATCGAGTGTCGATTCAGCCTTAATTAGTGACCAAGTACAGTCCTGGGAAGTTAAAGCGGCCGGTGTGACCATACACCTATCGAGTGTCGATTCAGCCTTAATTAGTGACCAAGTACAGTCCTGGAAAGTTAAAGCGGCCGGTGTGACCATACACCCATCGAGTGTTGATTAGTCTATAAAATATTGGTCTAGCCATGTGTGCCCAATGAGCCCGAAGGCATGGAGAAGTGTCCTTTACCTAAATTATGTGCCTATCCACAAGGATGGACAGCTACAGCGTACAACTGTTGTCTGGAAATATTACATGGTGAGGCCTCTATCTTTTCCACGACAAGACTCTTATAGAATGTTTATATAACCAAGAGAATTGAGTTAACCATCTAAGAAACCAACAGTCAGCATAAAAAATCAACCAGGCCTGTAAAACGGATGTGCAAGCCCAACTCAAGTTCTGAAACAATACGAAATGTCAGAAGTGGACAAACAACGAGAACTTTCTGCCGCGTTTACACCTTGTGAACGCTAAGAAGAGGAAAATAGGAATGCTCACAACTTAACTCCCCAGTGTGACTAACTGTTAAAACTCCCCAGTGTGACTAACTGTTAAAACTCCCCAGTGTGACAAACTGTTAAAACTCCCCAGTGTGACTACCTGTTAAAACTCCCCAGTGTGACTAACTGTTAAAACTCCCCAGTGTGACTAACTGTTAAAAGAATAGGAGGTGCAAGAAAATGAAGATGATGATGATAATTGGTGAGAATGATAATGATGCTGACGTCAGCAACAATAACGACGATGTGACGATTGTTGATAATGATGACACAGAAGAAGCAGAAGAAGAAGAAGAAGAAGAAGAAAGAAGAAGAAGAAGAAGAAGAAGAAGAAGAAGAAGAAGATTATAATGATGAAGATGATGATGATGATGATGATAATGATGATGATGATGATGATGATGATGATGATGATGAGGATGATGATAATGTGAAAACGGACCATAATGACTAATAATATTATTATCATTATCACGATAATGTGCAAAATGATCGGGAAAAGAAACTAAAACAACCTAATATTTAAAGCCCGTACATTCTTATGAGCTGTCAGTGTCTCTTCAAAATAATTTTTTTTCACAAATAAATATAAAAATCATACAGTTTCATTTTCTCATATATAGCGTGCCCTTGAATGTATGCATGTGAAAATTAACGTCATTGCTACTTATTCAAAATAATAATAATAATAATAATTTTAACATAGTAAATTAGCTTTAATGTAAAATAATACACGAACAAGACTGTTTTAACACTATGTACTACATACGTCTTTCAAAATAACTGAACAATACCCTTAGAAACACATTAAGGTTTTTTTTCATGGCGACTTGCGTGAAAACAGGAGTCTTTTACTTAAAAGTAAGATTGTCGAGAACACATTAGTATGTAAGCTAATATGCAAGAAAATGTCAATGTTAACGAACAAACTGTATATGAGGTATGAAACCAAAGCATGGTTTGGGGGAGTATAGTACCATAAAACACCCGAAAGATAGTAACCGTTTGAGGGTTTACGAGTCTAGTTGAAACTCACTGGATCCACGCAGTGTAAAGACGCGCTGTCTTTCGATAGCTGACCGAATTATCACAATGTGCATTGCATTAAAGCAATATTATTTGGAGGAGGGACTGAAATCACACTTCGGATTTTACCGAAACAATCGAGCTTGAAGATGAAGATGATACCCTGGTCTGAGACATCAGTAGTTTGGTTCAAAAGTTTATCTGTGTACAGTTTTTTATGTTCGTCTGCTATGTGCATGTGATAAAAAGCGCAGAACCATTCAAATCAATCTCTGAGCAAGGTGACGATGATATCCTAATTTGTTAAAGCTAAAACTGATTTCAGATTATAGAGTTTCGAAGAGTTTTTCTTCAAGTAGAGATATCACCAGCTCTACTGCGAAGACGATATGGCAATTTAAGATAGCCGACGCTGATTTCAGATGTTTATTTATCAACAGCTTTCTATGTTAGTGTGCATATGAAGTGTTGAAGTGTTCTTCTTCAAGTAGAGATATGACCAGCTCTACTGCGACGACGATGTCAGAACTTAGTATAGCGGAAGCTGATTTTAGATGTTTATTTATGAACAGCTTTCTATGTTTGTCTACAGTGTGCGTATAATGGAAAGTTCTTCTTCAAGCAGAGATATGACGAGCTCTACCGTAATAACGATACCCTGATTTGGGACGGCTAAAGCTGGCTTCGTGTGTATGACCATCTTTCCTTCTTTGTATGCTCTGTGCCCAAAATGGAAAGTTCTAGGCATTACGTTCCTCTGCCAGCAGGAATATGTTCAGAAGAGCTGTTGGTGTAAAAATTGCTTTGGTAGGGATTTCCATTGTACAGGTCATACTTTGGTGGGTTGTTGCCTTGGGAAACGGCCTGATGTCATAAGTCCACTGTTGACTGATATGATTTATAATAACCACCAGCATCGTGGTGGTTTGACATCACTGGAGGTGAGGCGTCTTTGGACATGGTGAGAGGCGACATCTGCGCGTAGGAGTTATAGCCCATGTCATACATGGTTTTCATGTCTAGTTTGCTTTCTGACATGAGATTGGTGATGGAAAACGGGTGGTTGAAGGAGTGGTTTGGGTGCAGCTGGTGCAAGCCTGCCTGATGGTGAGGATTGTGGTGTGGGTGATGAACATAATGCCCGGTAGTATGATAAAGACCTAGAGATTGATGCGTCAGCTGAGATCCGTAGTCATGTGGGTTAAGAGGCCTAATATTTGACAAGTCCGCAGTTGGAGGCGGGTGGTGATAAGACGCCAGAGAGTTCTGTGATGAAAGAGGGGTATGGCAGGACACCTGGGGCGGGAGACTCTGAGAAGGAGGTGGGTGAGACATTTCTTGAGGATGTGGACTGGCATTTATCACTTCAGTCTTTGGCTGTATGGACGATGCAGATTGATGCTGCTGCTGCTGCTGCTGTTGTTGTTGAGGATGTATCTGAGAGTGTTGCTGCGGTTGGTGAAGCTGGGTCTGTTGGTGGTGGTCCTGTGGTCTTGGAGATGTATGTGGTGCGGCGTGAGTCTGGCCGTGGTGCGAATGAGTTCCGGGTATAGGTGAGCTCATTGGACTGTGGTCATCCCCAGAGGGCAGGCTGTCATCTGGATTGGTGCCTGAATCGTCTCGCCCTCGACTTGGAGTTGAAGTCTGGCGTATCATTTCTTTTTTAGGGCATTTGAATCTTTTCTGTCGACGCAGATAACAGCCATTTTCGAACATGTTTCCTGAATCCGGATGCAGAGCCCAGTAACTTCCTTTTCCGGGTCTGTCAGGGGTCCTTGGGACCTTAACAAAACAGTCATTGAAAGAGAGACTATGGCGTATGGAATTCTGCCAGCGTTGTTGGTTCTGTCTGTAGAACGGAAAGAGGTCCATGATGAACTGATAAATCTCACTCAGGGTGCACATTTTGTTCTGTGACTGCTGTATTGCCATGGTGATCAGAGAGATATACGAGTAAGGCGGCTTGGCATGCGTGTAAGCCCGCCTGTAGTTCTTATCAGTCCTGGGTCTGTTTAAGGCGCCATTAGACATAAGATTGGGGTCAAGAGATCTGTTCATGCCGTTCATTGAGGACATTCCTGACATAGCCGACATTCCGTTCATTCCTCCCATGGCGTTCATACCAGACATGGCCCCATATCCTCCCATTGCGGACATTGATCCCATAGACCCCATAGACCCCATGCCGCCCATTGATCCCATGCCTCCCATGGCGGCCATTCCACCCATGGCTTGAGGAGAGTAGCCCATGCCTCCACCTATAGCAGACATTGCTGACGGCATGGGTGACATGGAGGGACCCATCGGGTTCATGCTGGATGGGTAGCCAGAAGATGCTATTCCACTGCCCATTCCTGTAAACAAAATAAAGGAAAGGCTATAATCACAACACTAAGTTGAGCCAGTAAGCAATTGTACAAGTATTACACAGGAATTACAGAAAAGATAGTTCAGCCAAAAAGAGCAGCCCAAATGTTTTGAAAGAGTGAAAGAGACGAGGGCAATTAGATAAATTAATAATCATACACATCAGAAAAAGACGGTCATCATTTTTTTCCACACATGTTATGGAAAGAAAAAAACTGAAACACATTGAGACCACTCAAAAAAATCTGTAGAAAGAGATATAGAGGAAGACAACGCAAGAATATTATCAATAGCCTTTGGTCAAAGAATGGAAAGTTGTTACCAAAACAGAATAATGCAATGTTCTGGGTGATCGCAAGGTGTCTAGAAGTTGAAATTCCTGTTTAATAAGTGTCGATTTTAGTTCACCATCCAAGGTCGTATTGTTATTCTTCTGGTCCAAGACGTATGTAATCATGTCTATCCACAACCTTCTGTCTCGTGTACTTTCGATTAGTTTCTGTACGGATGATCTCCCATGTCATTATGTCAATTGTCTAGCATCTTCTCTCATGGTCTCCATCTGTCTCCTTTCCCCATCAGTTTTCTCACTGTCAAGAAGTACTACTACGGTTATCTCCTTCTCATGACCTCATCAAATAAAGTACATTGTCTCTTTCTGGTCCAGGATACAAAATGCATAAATTATGTAGAGATTCCATTTACTGTGATCAATGGAACCATAAATCAGCGGATGGGTAGACCACAAAGTAAAAGTAAAGAACCCTTTTCCAAGCCTTCTGGTGTATTGAGCATATAGGGCCAAATGTATATTTTAGACTAATCGGCACTTGGTGGATGATATGGTCAGCATCACGTTGGCCGCCTTTACTTCCCAGGACTGCATCCGGTACCCACTCAAGGCTGGGTTGACCTCCGAGCCAAGGTAATTTTTGAAAAATGTCCTGCTCCGTCAGGACCAGAACCCACGACCTTCCGATCCACAGGCGAGCGTCTAGCCGCTCCACCACGACGACTTCCCTGAAATTAAGAGTCTCATGCCCTACCGACTGAGCCAGCGGGACAGACCAAACTACAAAGATACAGCCATATCCATTAGTAGATCTCGGTTCCAATCACTGGTGTGGCAAAGGATCTGTAACTAGAATCTTTATAATACCGCCAGAGAGTACAAACGAAACGGCCAGTTTTAATTGTAACAACGCCAATAAACACAGTCTGAATTATGCCCTGGTTCCTTCAAATGATGTCAATAAAGGTTGTTAATATTGTGGGTCTGTTAATATTTCTCTTTCTTTCTTTCTATATTGCTTTCTTTCTCACTTTCTTTCCCTTTTTTTTTCCTTTCTTTTTTTTTAAATAGTTTTTTCTTAATTTCTTTCTCGCTTTCTCTCTTTCTTCTTTCGTTTTATTTTTCTTTCTTTTAAACTTGGAATGACTGGGGAATTAATAAGTAGACTAAACTGCCAACATAAATTAAACTCTCACCTGAGCCTACCGGGTCATAGTGTGGAGGTTTGGACGCTAGCATGTTGGCGAGTCTGTCTGTGTGACCCCCAGCCACGTCCACACAGCCTGGGTACAGCGAAGAGCTTGGAGTCGACACCGTGGTGAAAGTTGGTTCAAATCTGCAATTGCAAGAGAAAAAAGTGGTCAAATAAAAAATAGAGACCGACCGACCTACAGACAGACAGACAGACAGACAGACAGACAGACAGACAGACAGACAGACAGACAGACAGACAGACAGACAGACAGACAGACAGACAGACAGACAGACAGACAGACAGACAGACAGACAGACGGACAGACGGACAGACGGACAGATGGACAGATAGATGGATAGATGGATAGATGGATGGATGGATGGATAGATGGATAGATGGGTGGATGGGTGGATGGATAGATGGATGGATGGATAGATAGATAGATAGATGGATAGATAGATATTAATAGATAGGATCGTATAGATAGATAGATAGATGAGATAGATAGATAGATAGATAGATAGATAGATAGATAGATAGATAGATAGATAGATAGATAGGATAGATAGATAGATAGATAGATAGATGGTAGATAGATAGATAGAATAGATCGATAGATAGATAGATAGATAGATAGATCGATAGATAGATAGATAGATAGATAGATAGATAGATAGATAGATAAGATATATAGATAGATAGATAGATAGATAGTATAGATAGTTATAGATAGATAGCTAGATAGATAGATAGATAGATAGACAGAATGATTTATTTATTAATCTAATAATCGAGAAATTATGCCCTGGGTTATTTGTATTTTCAAAAGAAACTCAAAAATTGATGCGCAGATTCAAAACAATTTAACAACTGTTTATAAAGTGAACAAAACAATTAACTATAAAATAAACGGTTTACTAAAGTTATAGGATGTGTTGTATAATCGACTCATTAAAAAAATTCAGTTTGCTGATGTTTGAACACTACATTTGTTGTACGTTCGTGTTTCTTGTGTTCTTGAGACCTTGCATGTTTTCATATTCTACACACTATTTGTGGGTTTGTGTGTTTGTTAAACAGAGTGCTGTTCCTTATAATTATCATCATCATCACCATCACCTTCTTCTTCTTCTACTTTTCCTTTTCCTCTCTCCCTTTCCCTCCTCCTAAACATCGGATCCAGCAAGCCACACATGAATACTCGAGTTCTACAGTCTCTCTTGTTGTACCCCACCAGGATATCACACAGGCGATAAACACCCGGTGACTCAAAGTACCACCATGCTAATGAGGATCACCCGTGGAAAGGTCACAGAGACCCCTTTTAGACGTTATGGCTAAATTCAGGGCCCCCGGCAAAATCTAGGGTGGTCTTCAAATAACGAAAAATTGCATCCAACATAAGCAGGAAATCATTAATATTCTACAATCTACATATTTGAGACGTTTAATGTGTTCATATTCTACTAATTACATATTTTGAAATCGAGTATTTTGGACCGAAAGGAGAAAATATTGCATCCTAGCTGTAAACCACAACACAACATGACAAACGCATAGTGCGGGGGCTGAGAAGTCTAGTGGCATGGCGTCCACCTCGAATTCTGGAGGCACCGGGTTCAAGCGCCGGTAAAGGCTGGAATTTTTTTCCCCCTGGAATTCCAGTAATTCACACTGGTCTCTGGGTAGTAAGATCGGACGCCCGTGTGCATTGTTGCGAACGTAAAAAAAAACACCTTGGCAGTTGGAAATGGAAAAGAGTAGCCTAACGGTTGATACGGAGTTCGTGCACAGCGCTAAGAATTTTCGGACTCAGGCTTGAGTTAGAAGCAGAACGGAGCACTTATGGGTTACTACCCTTGTGCCTTAATGTTTATCCGTTGTATAAACATAAACATCTTTAATGCCGGCTCTCTAGCATAGTTGGCTAAATCGGACTGCGCTGTGACTGGGTGACGAACTCCTGTGGTCCGGGTTCATTCCCTGGGGTCGGCAGAAAAGCCACATTTTCTCCCAGATTTACGGTACCTATCATGGAATCAAGGCCGAAGGGTTGCGATATCCATAGTACCGAGCCAAAGGGTTAACAACTCATGGTTTCTGGAATAAAAAAAAAAAAAAAAACATCTTCAATGGGGTAAGCAAAAGAATGAAAGAGATGGAGAAGGGGGAGGGCTACCTAATTTTGGAAGATTTATGAACCAGGCATGTAGGCCGGTCTCATAATCTGCTCTTCCATTCTAATAGAAAAAAAGGATGGTCACCAAAAACATATGTCTTATCAGAAGAAGAAGCAGAATTCTTCTAATGTGCTCTAAAGGCTGAGGTTCAAGTCAAGACGATTGACTTTATTGCCCCGGGTTATATCCCATATGGCTCAGTTTCTCGTCTTAGCCGCCTGCCGAGAGAGTCACAGAAAGCACCAACACCATAGCTCTGATGACACCCCCCCCCCCCCCCCGCGGCCTCTGTAAAAACTGCACACTCGTGAACCGGACGACGCAGCCGGGACACGAGCTGTTCTCCAGGGGTCTGGCGGTTCGTTATAGCAACATACATGTTTTGAGGAAGTAGGGGTCTTTGGTCCCCTCTCCCATGAAGCGTCATAAGGCCCATATGGTTAGTTTAGTCTGTCCTCTTAGCCTTCAATGTGGCCTGATGCTCTCCATGTCTGGCGGTTACTACATGTTTAGGTCTTGGAGGAATAAGGCCCATCTCCTTCCCTGGATGATGGTTCTTGCAGGATCTCTCTTGGTCTTCCCCTTTTTCCAGGATCCATGTGAGGGCTTGATGGGGGAGTCTTGTCTTATCCATTCTTAGTGCATGGCCGATGTAGTTCCAGGGGCGCTTTCTTATAAAATTGGTTACATTATCTTGCTTGGTCTCTTGTCTTATTTGCGTATTGGATCTGAAATTTGTCCAGTGGAAATTTACTATTATAATCACGTCTGTGAGGGGAGGGGTGGGGTATGAACACACTATTGAAAAAAAGTGTAGTACACAACTGAGAAAAGTTGGCTCTGTGGCTAAGTCGATGCGAACGCTTCCTAATGCCGGGGTGTTGGGTTCGATCCCAGCTGCGGGCCATGCGCCTTGCGTTGGTTTCGACAGTGGTATCAGGGGGCCGACCGTCCAGGGAGCAATGGCAAACTACGGGACGTTAATTTGCCTAGAGAAACCACACAACAGCTAGGGGCTGCTGGGGTTGGTTCTGCGACGTTCTGTAAAGGTTACGCAACTAACCAACACAACTGAGAATGGCTGCAATGTATCCAACGCTAATTATGGGAATAAAACCTGGTGAGACGACAATCTCTTCTATGGCGGGACTCTCGTACCACTGTCTGAAAGCCATAAACAGGTGTTTTTCCCCCTAACCGCCCTCGGCGGGAATAGAGCCATTGCAGACGTCGAGAACTGCTTTATAAAACGAATTCAATAATCTCTAAGCAGAGCCGCACTTGAGTGAACGAAAAATATGTTTAACCATTGTTGGTTCT